GCTAGTCCAATGGCTATGTCTAGCTGAATCTTGAAAACTTCCAAAAGTGGAAGTTTAGCCACTGTCTGGGTACCTGTTTGATCTGTTGCCTTCCCAGTGAGAAAGGGGTTGGGGTGTGTGTTTGATTTTTTTTTCTTAATGTCCAGTCTGAGCTTTGCAAGACAGTATTTATTGCCATTACTCTTGTTATATTGTCTGCCACTACTGAGCAGATTCTTGCTTCATCATTGCAATGGGATCACACTGTCTCACTTCAGCTGTCCTTTCCAGCTCATCAATACAGACTTCAACCTGCACGTGCGTATTATGCTGTATTTAAATACTCTAAGACCCATCTGAGTTTTTTTCGTACTGAAAAGTGGTTTGCTCTTCTTTCCTCAGAGTGACGTTATCCGCAAACCACAAGGGCAGATGGAGCTGAATTCCTCATGCCAAATTGTCAGAGGTGAAGGGTCCCAAACATTCCAGGTAAGCATTGCTTTTTCATCCTCCAGAAAACCACACACTCAGTGGGTGGGTGAGAGAGCGCTTATTTCAGGCTTAATGGTACTGTATGTCTCAATGGATATGAGCTAACTTTATCTGGCTCCCGTGTTTACTGGCACAAGCCAGGCAATTAGCTTAATAAATAATGGGGAAAGAGCTAAATTGTAACCCAAATACAGCTTTTTGAAATTGAAAGAAATTCTCCTTTATTTTTGTTTTACACCATATCACTTTCCTTTTTGGAGTTAGGACTGAGAGCTTGAAATATGTGGGGAAAAGTGATTCTTGTAGCAATTAAAACCAGACAGTATGCAGGATCTCCTGTTTCTGAAAGACTCCTCTTGTTGAGATCTCTAGCCTGACTTTACACGTTTGTCATGACTTCTGAAGCATTAGAAGTTAGCCCATCACTGACTTCAGTTTTAAGTCATTATTGTTAGAGGACTTAATTATAAAGGCAGCATTAAAGTTTCTCTCATACTCTGACTGAAACGCATGTGGCTTGACCTGTGAGCTACCTTCTGCCCTGATGGAACTGAAGCTGCTAAGGCTTAATACTATTAAATTCATGTCATCTTTCCTCTCAGAATCACAAGCTATTGAAGGCAGAATGCAGTACAAAGTGAAGGGAGCTAAAAGCCCCATTTATATAGTCACCTTTAAAATGAAAAATTAGCAGCAGCACTGAGAAACAAGAAGCAATGAGAGAGGACACAAAGCCACAATATCCAACAGAAACAGCGAGAGAGCTCATGCGAATTTGTTTTGTCTCAGTTTCAGTTATTTCACTCGGGTTTTGAGGGTTAGCACCTTTTTTCTTACCCCCCCAAAAATCCCTCCTGAACCACCAAAAAAAACCCTGTGTGCAATAATAAAACACAGCAGCTGAAGCAGAGATTTGTAGGTGTGCAGATTCATACTTCCTCACTCCTTTTCCTTCTAGCTCATGACAGAAAAGAGAACCTACTTCCTGACAGCAGACTCTCCCAACATCCTGGAGGAATGGATTCATGTCCTACAGAGTATCCTGAGAGTGCAAGCGACCAGTCCTGTTGGTGTTCCTCACAGTGATGCTAAACCTACTGTGAAAGGGTGGCTCACGAAGGTAAAATACTATTTCTTTCTTTGTTCAGTTTACATCACTATTGACAGTGTACCAGCTTCTTGGTTTGCACAGTAAACGTAAGCAAGAAATTAGTATTTTAATACTCCTTAGAACAGTGGGGAAAGAAAAAAAAAGTGGCAGTAGATTTCTATATTTCAGAGGCACGTTTGTATAAATGATAAGTAACAGCACAAATGAGACTACTGAGAGAAACTGACTTTGTCAAGTAGTAAGTAGTAACAAATACCTAGCTTATGTATGCTTTTCTTCAACAGAATTGACAGTATGTCATAGTGAAAGAAAAAATAAGCAACAGGCAGGAAATGCTGTTAAATGTCACATTTAATTGATCTTAACCTGGTGATATAGGAAAGTTTCAAAGAAATGGCTTGTGAGGTTCTAGTTTAGCATTTATTTCCATCAAAACAGACTGCATGCACTTTAGTACAAAGTACAATGGCTGAAAAAATCTTTTGCTTTATGCCATTTGAGTAGATTAGTCTTGCATAGCAAGTTACTGTAAATTTTTAAATATAATTCTGGTCAGCATCTAAAGGTGGCTGAAGACAACCTACATTTGAAGCTTGTTCATCTGCAATAGGAAACAGCTGCCTAGACTACATATTGGCTGGGGTTTTTCCTCCGGTCTTAAGGTTGTTCTTAATATTGTATTTCAGGATACAGAAATGATGGGTTGTTACGAATGAGTGAAATACTTCACAAAATCTTAGACCCATTTCCATAAGCACCTATGTCCCATCTACTCAGGCGGGATGTACTTACCTGCTTTTGGAAGTGATGCCCTGTATGTTTTGAGAGGAGCTCATATTAGCATAGAACAAATAATATACGCAAGGTTTTTAAGGAAGAGTGGAATTGAAAGTTGAAATCCTAGAAAATCATTGCAGCAACACTGCTGATGTTAAAAACATGTATTTCTTTGTCCTCCTTTACAGGTCAAGCATGGTCACTCTAAGCTGGTCTGGTGTGCGCTGATTGGAAAAACTTTCTACTACTATCGAAACCATGAAGATAAGGTAATTCCTTTTGCCCTTTTGTTCCTGAACGCTCCTTTCCCATTTCTCATGAAGCTTTCTTTCCTTTTACCGCTTCTATGTCTCATGCATCAAGGTCTTCCTTGGTTGTACTTCTCCTCTTCTAACAGTATCTGCTCTACAAAGAAAATCAGTATTTTCTCTGATTTTTTTTTTTCTGAAGCTAAAATGACAGAAGACTTAAAAGGCGAGTGACTGCTTTTTCTCAGATCACTGTATATCTTGTTCCTTGCTTTCTCCATTTGGTTTTGTGAAGCCTTTAGAGCAGACTTTAATACAGCAGCTGATATATTCTGCATACTGTCATGAAAATAAATAGCAACAACAATATGGGAAGAGGGAGGTACTTTAATCAGTGTAATATGCTTCCATTTTGGAACCTTGGCCCAACGGTCCATTACTTTGTCTTGGTGAAATCGAAACCCAAGTTTTAAAATATCAAGGAATATTGTGAACCATACTTTGGATTGACCTCCAGAGTTATCACAGCAGATATCCTCTGTTTGTCTGAATCTACCTATTTCTGTAATTTTAAAAGTACTTGTTTTCCAGTAGCAAGCAGAAAGTCTGACCAGGATCAGAAAACAGTGGCTCAAGATACTGAGCAACTGACCATCAGAAACACATTCAGCCTTGCAGAACCAATGGTGTAAACACAACTGACAAGTGTAATGGGAAGAAAACAGTACCTTATGGGAAAGACAATCTTTTTATTTGCATATACTCATTCTGACCTGTAGATGCTCTCCCAAGAAAAGTAATAGAAGTAGTAACACAGTTTGTAAGTACTCTAGCTGGTGAAAGAGAAGAGATTCTATAGAAATGCAAGATTATATAATTACATTGTTAAACACTGAATTATAGTTTATTCCTTACATTTTACAGAACTGCTAACAATTTGACCTGTGTTTTCTTTCCCAGTGTTTCCTGTCCGTAGCGGAAGATCAGCTACACTTATCTAACTTGCTTCCCCTCCTTCTAGTGTCCCCTGGGGCATCTACCTATGCGTGAGTCCAAAGTGGAAGAAGTAGACCGTTCCTGTGATTCTGATGAAGATTATGAAGCCACTGGTGGTGGACTTCTCTCATCCCACTGTACACTGGTGATTCACCCACAGGACCAGAGCCCCACATACTTACTCATTCGCACCAAACAGGAGAAGGTATAAAAGGCAGTCTTCCTGGAGACCAGAAATCTTTTCGGTATCAGTGAACAAATGGGGCATGCAGACTGAACCTGTCTGTAGAAAACAAGATGTGAATTGACCCGTACTGTTCTCATCCTTATGCCTAGAATACCTGGCTGTACCATCTGACTGTAGCAGCTGGTGGCAGTAATGCCACAGTGGGCACATTGTATGAACAACTCATTGGAAAACTATTGGATGCAGAGGGAGACCCTAGTAAGTAGAAACTACAAACTCTTTTCCGTGGTGGCAAAGCATAAGGAAGGGTAATTTCAATCCCCAGTTTTAATCCAGACAAAAGTAGAACAGCATATGATATAGTGTCCTCCCCTCATTCCACAGTAACATCTCCAGAGAGGATACAGGCATTGTAGTGAAACTAGACAAGTCCATCACATTACCACATCATTTATCAAAGCATCTGAAATGTCTGTAACATTAATTCAAATTAAAATAAAGAACTGGAGCTTTAATTTTTCCTGTTATTGTTGGTCCTGATTTTCCTTTCCTGGGAATCTTGACCAGACAAATACACTCACACACACTTGCCTTCACATCTGTTCCTCTGTCTGCACATATAAACCCTCACACATACGTCCATGCTTGTCAGTTCCTCCTCATCTTTGATACTTGCTCATTCACGTGGGTTTACGCATCGTGTTCTCAAATGTGTATTAACATATGCATTTGTACTTAATAGTCTTCCTGCATGCTGACATATTCCTAGATCTAAATGCGAACCTTGCTTATTGCTGAATAGTGACTTGCACTAGCAAAGACTCCCATTGCAGGCGGCTGTCCTGGCAGAGTTTGTGTCTCTTGTCTGAACACACAGCTGAGCAGTTTCTCACTAGAGTCCAGCTGATGAGCAGTTCTGACACAGCAGGATTGAGGACAGCAATACTTCTTTCTGCTGATGGCTAATGCTGCTGGTGACTGCTTGTTCATGGCAGGCTTTGCTGAAATGGATGAAGTGGCATGAAAGATGAATGTGGCCTAGTGCAGTGCTGCTTCCTCAGGTGCTTTGCCATTTCAGCAAGGGTCTTTTTCAACGTGGACACTGTTACCTTTCTTCTGTTTCTGACACTGCATGTTTCTGCCCATCTGCTACCTCAGATTCTCCTCTGTGGAAACATCCTATGTTGTGCTACAGTAAAGATGGATTGCACACATCGCTCACCACTCTGCCATCGGACGCTCTACAGACTGAAGCTCTGAAACTTTTTAAGGTATTTAAAGGAACATTGCATGGTTTTCAGTTATTTTGCTCTTTTCTTGGGGCAACAACATTGTTTGGTCATGTTGTTTGTCGTAACATTTACTGTCACCATTGGTAGCTTTAGACAGGCCTGCTGGGTCATTTAATTGCAGTAGCACAGTCGGATACTAGGTGTCATTCACTCTCTGGAAGTTTAACTTTTCCTTTAGGGAATCTGGGTTTAGGAGCGATGTCCTCCACAGGCTTTATGCTTCAAATTTAGCCTCATCTTCTTCTTCCTTCTCCAATGGTTGGATTGAAGGAAACAAACAATGTATTGGCAAACTCAGTTGTGTCAGTAAGACCAGTGGTGAAGCCACTGGAGAGCTGATTCTTGCACTCTGCAAGTGTAAGATCAGCATTAAGACTGGACAGTCTTAGCAAGGCAAAGCACAGGCATGGAAGGCAGGAAGCACATTTTCCCCCTCGATTCTCTTGCTGACTTGTGAGCTCCTCAGGCTCGGGGAGGCTGAATGAGTTTTCTAGTTGCCACAACTAAAGAGGAAGGGATAGGAATTAAGCATTTATTCTCCACCCTCCTCTCAAGCTTATTTAGAAGAATTCATTAGTTGTCTGTAACACACTTGGGGAACCTGGCCTGGAAAGTACCAGAGGAGAGTTGCTGTATTCGTAGCATTGACTAACGTTCACCTGTTTACAGTCCTGTCAGCTGTTCATCAATGTCCCTGTGGAGGCACCCTCTATTGATTACCACGTGTCACTTGCCCAGACAGCACTGCAGGTCTGCTTGACACATACTGAGCTGCAGAATGAAATCTACTGTCAGCTTGTCAAACAGACCAACTGCCGACCACCCCAGAACCACTCAGTCATTCAGGTCAGTTTCTCTTCTGTCAGTTCCACTCTGCAAATACTTTCTATTTCATTCCATGTTTTTAATAATTAGCAATGGTACTAGTTCTCATTAAACTGTGCAAATGCTAAAGGTGTGGTGGAGGAAAGAGAATATCATCACTGATGTGCAAAGAAAAACATCGAGAATGTAACTACTTGCAAAATAAATTTTAGTTTGAATGTAACCATTTACCAGTTGCACATGGTCTATTCAGACCATATTCAGAATCAAAATTAGTAGCTCGTGTTGGCTAGCTATAATTGTCACATGGTATTAATTTTCTTTTCCATTTTAGTTAATCAACAGCAAGCAAATCATTAATATTACTATTAAGCATGAAATCTGATTATTGCACTGTAATTACTGGCCAAATCAAATTAATAAGTTAGAACGTAAATGTAGATACTTAATTGTAATATTCCCATCTTAAATGAGAAAATAAAATCTGGTTGAAGAACAATGGCTCTAATTTCAAACAAAATTCCCCAGTGTATTCTTTGTTATGATTTGCAGTTACAAATAGGAAAATAAGAATTACTTTAAGTCTTAATTGTTCACTCAGCTCTGGTTACACCAGTCAAAATTTTCAAAAGTGGCCAATCGTTTAGAACATCTCTTAGAGTCCAGGTTGAGATACTGAAGAGCAGTCTGTTCACTAATCGTCACTTTCCTTTGAAGTATCTTGAACTACATGTATAAAAATGGTCACTCCCAAAAGCACTGTCACCATGCAACATTTTGGTTGCAGTATTCTATGAAAGGCTACAGGCAAGAAGTACAGACCAAGAATGATGTCCAGTTTTATGTTCACAGTGCTGGCAACTCCTGGCTTTGTGTGCTCCTCTATTCCTGCCTCAACATCACTTCCTCTGGTATGTCAAACAGCACTTGCAGCGACATGCAGACCCCAGGTAAAGACTGCAACAGCGTTTTCTTCTGCTAACAAATTACTTTTTGCATCCATTATGGATAAAGATGGAATCAATTTTATAACTCACACCTGCAAAAATAAGTTGACGGAGGGGGCAGAAGGTTCCCCATGGTGTAATGCTGTCCCCCTTCCGTCATTCACATTAATTTGTCACTTACATTAAGTTAGTTCACAGAACTGCTATAAAACCTATACTAGCAAAAGAACTTTTTGCAGATGTAACTGGAGCTACATAGAGAGTTTTTTGCTGATGCAGCTACTTTCTTTTCTTGATAGAAAGACAGAGCAAAGTAATTATTTAAAATGAATTATTAGAATTTTAGGTGATTACATTCTGCTGTCAGGTTAGCAGGCGTACTGACAGAACAAAAGTGGGGCAGAGAACATCGCAAGGAACCATGAAAAGTTAGGAAAAACTAACAAACCTGAAATATAGGCTAGTACTGTTTTCTGTTACCTCTTTGGTGTGTAACACTTTCCCTTGTAAGAAAACAGTGCAAAATCTACTGTAACAGCAGTAAGTTGTTCTCCAGTGTACATGCTGTGCTCTTTGTTTGTTTCCATGGTGATCTGGTCTTCAGCATATCTCACTGTGTTCTTGGGGGGGAGGTCACAGCTAGAGATGTTGTCTGTTGCAACAATATCCTGTTGCTAAGACATAAGTAAAAGAATCATTTCATTTCACACAAATATTCATATTTGAATACTCAGCCTAAGTCTGCCTTGGAACTCAAGCTAAGAGCCTCCTTGTATTGCAAAGGAAATCTGTGTACTTTTATCAAGTTTTTAAAAGTTTCTTATATGCTGCCTCACATTTGCTATTTCTTCTCAGAAGCAAAAATACAGATATGGGGTGTTCCTCGATCTTCAGACTCTCTCTCTTTTGGCTAAGGCAACATGCTAGGGAGCTTCTGGCTAGTACTAGAAACCATGTCTTCAAACTCGTGCATTACCAGCTCCCAGATTGGCCCATTCAACTCAGCAGCAGGGAGCTGCTCTACTGTTAAGGGCTATTGAATTTCATAAGGATGTGCTGGGCTCTGTGAAACTGATTTAGTGGATCAGTTTCAAGCATTACTATACTGATAGTCTGCCAGGTTCTTAGCCCAGAAGTACCTTTATCAACAAATAAACTTTAAAGAGAAGCAAAGAGGAAATGTATTTATACAATCCAGTTATGAAACAATTATTAGGGCTAGAAAAAAGCATGCAGAAATTACAGGAAACTGTGTGCATATTCATCTGTAGTTTCAATTACATTCAGGGACTTAGCTTAGCTCCTTCTGCCTAGCTTTAGGAATTCTTATGTCTCTTTAGATGGAGCAGGTACAGCTGTTTCTTGACCAGTTGAATAGCTATGCTTTCCCTGTTTCATACAGCAAACAAGACACTGGAATGTTTACACTGCATAATGCCTATGGTCTAGATTTGCACTAGATCTTCATTCTAGGTGTTGTTTTTCATGAAAGGTGACCTTAGAGTGCATAAGAAGAAAAGTGGTTCTAGGTTAGAAGACACAGGGCTCAGGAGCGTTGGGAGACAGACACAACAGCTTCTCGTTGAAGAAAGAGTCTCCATTTGAAAATTGTTCAAACACATTGCTGGGATGGTGAACAATACATTGCTACAGTGAAAAGTCAGAGCTCCTGACTTCCGTGTTGCTTGCAGGGATTTAACTGGAGATTTAATCATGTACTGAGCTCCTGAAGGCATTTTGCATGGAATTAGTTTACCCTGGAAAGTGATATCATCATTATAAATCCATATAAATCCTTCAATTTCTGAACTTATTCAGTATACGTGTTCTTAACATTTTTGCAAAAGGTGTAATTGACTGCTCCTGCCTGCCTTTAGAGACACTTACATCCTTTTGGTGCTGTGTAATGGAGCACTCTCTTCAGTAGACAGTAAACTGATCATATTACTAGCTGTCCCTATACTGCGTTGAACTATCAACAAATCTAAGCCTGCTTTGAATCCGTTGAGTCTCTTGATTGGCAGATAGGGTTAATACATGGAAACTTGTAATTTGTATAACCATGTAAATTGATAAACACAATTTATATAATCCTGTGAGACTAATGCATTACAATTATTATTAATACTTCTTAGGACTTGACGTGATAATAACTAAATTCCACTGGCATGACAGCGAGTTTGAGGGTGGTCTTGGTTTAATGATTACTATGATGGCAACAGGATACAGAAGAGGATATTCCTATGCTATGTCCAGTCCATCTAGGAGCAGGGAATGCTCTTGTTCTTCGCAGAAAGCCTATCATATACCTTAATTTTACAGATCCTTCGAGCTCAGGTTTGTGTTGTAGCTTTTGACTTGAGCTGTTAGTCGGTTGAGACAAACTAGGATATCTGCACAGAGATGTATCTTTGCTTGAGCAAAAGCCTGAGGGAGGAATGCTTTGTCATGGCATGGGATATGGAAGAAGGCATGGAATTCAAAGCATGTTTGTGGCTTATCTCCACCTTTTTGCCTAGGAGTGAAATAGGCAAGTATGCCATCTACTGCCAGAGATCAGTAGACCGCACTGTGCAGACTGGTGAGCGGGAAGCCAAGCCCTCCCGGATGGAGATTGTGTCCATCCTGCTGAGAAATCCCTACCACCACTCACTCCCCTTCAGCATCCCAGTGCACTTCATGAACGGAACCTACCAGGTGAGCCACCGCAGCTGCCTTTCTGCTGGGCACTAGAGGACTGCACCGTAACCTGCCTCCTTCATGTGGGTGGGTGGCACCATGGTGTTTATTGAGGGATAGACACTATTTTTCCTCCTTGCCATTTTAGCCATTTTTTCTGAGAAAATGAAAGGAATCCAGCCGCAGTTCTAGAACTGTTAGGAAGAAAAGGTAGCTGGGGAGAAGGGAGAGATGTCTTAAGTGTCTCAGTACGAGAAAGAATGCAATGTGGAGTGACACAATATGCAAGTACAGTCACTGGAGCTGGCAGTCCATCATGAGACCCCAATCTGTAGGAAACCAGGGTTCATTAGTTGTGATACCCATCAATGTGATTTTTCCTGAAAGTTATTTTCAATTAGTTCTTTCATCGCAGGTTGTAGGTTTTGATGGTTCCTCGACAGTTGATGAATTCATCCAGCGACTAAACCAGGAGACAGGAATGAGGAAGCCATCCCATATGGGATTTTCTTTGTTCACAGATGATCCTTCTGGCAGGAATTTGGAACATTGTCTGCAGGGCAACATGAAGGTACCTTTTTTTCCCCTCTACTACATTCAGCATATAGTTTTGAAGAGCTGCTAAATGCCTAATACATTTTTTCTTAATGCAGCAAGATCAAATACACTTGGGTGTTGTCTATCTAGATTAGTATTCAGAGATGAAGTATTTGTTCCTGCACTTGGGTCACAACAACCCCATACAACACTGCAGGCTTGGGGAAGAGTGGCTGGAAAGCTGCCTGGCGGAAAAGGACCTGAGGATGTTGGTTGACAGCCAGCTGAACATGAGCCAGCAGTGTGCCCAGATGGCCAAGAAGGCCAACAGCATCCTGGCTTGTATCAGGAATAATGTGGCCGGCAGGAGTAGGGAGGTGATCATTTCTCTGTACTTGGCACTGGTGAGGCCGCACCTGGAGTACTGTGTTTAGTTTTGGACCCCTCACTACAAGAAAGACAGTGAGGTGCTGGACCACATCCAGAGAAGAACAACGAGGCTGGTGAAGGGTCTAGAGCACAAGTCTTATGAGGATTGGAACTGGGGTTGTTTGGCCTGGAGAAAAGGAGGCTCAAGGGAGACCTTTGTTCTCTACAACTACCTGAAAGGAGGTTGTAGTGAGGCGGGTGTTGGTCTCTTCTCCCAAGTAACAAGTGATAGGTTGAGAGGCAATGGCCTCAAGTTGCACCAGGGGAGGTTTAGACTGGATGTTAGGAAAAATTTCTTCACCAAAAAGGTTGTCAAGCACTGGAACAGGATGCTGAGGGAAGTGTTTGAGTCACCATCCCTGGAGGTATTTAAAAGATGTGTAGACATGGTGCTTAGGGACATGATTTAGTGGTGGACTTGGCAGTGTTCAGTTTGTGGTTGGGCTTTATGATCTTAAAAGGTCTTTTCCAACCTAAATGATTCTATGACTCTATAATTAGCTCAGTCTAGTCTGAGATACTAGTTAAGACAAAGCACATTCTGGTTTAGTAGGTAGTAAATTGGTCAATTTTTAAAAAGTCTTTAACTCAGATTTTAGCATATATTAAAGTTTAATTTGTCTTGACTGCAAAATTAAAACATGAGTGAGGTAGCTAGCATGATCAGATATCACAACTAACACCGAATGTGACACTCCTAATTGAAACAAATTTATGTTAGGCTGTGAGTCTCTTGGCATGTCTGTATAAATCTCATCTTTTGGGTTATGAAGTATCTCTTTGCTATCTCCAGATAACTCAGGCTTTCACTGTTGATAAGTGTACTTAGAGGAGAAAGTTCTACCGAGTACGCTTTCATTTTAAAAACAAGATAAAGTGCCTCAGATCAAGGGAAAAGGAAAGCAGATAAAGTGTTAACATGTGTGTCTTTCATATGGAGATTTTTAGCCATGCTGCATCTGGATGACTGCCTTAAGTGGCTGGCTAGTGGCCATGAATGAGACGCATCAGATTTTAGTACAAATGTGGGAGAATAATTTGTTGTGCAGCATTGATGAAGGAATAGTGGTAGTGGCAACTTTGAAGAGGCCCTGATACCTGTGAGGAACATAAACGTTCAGTTTTACATGGCATAAAATTTCACATTGGGCAACAGAGGGAGAAGGTGCCAATAACTTTAAATTAGATGGTTTGAAGAGGAAACTACCGCAGATGGTGCCAAATTATGTACTTTGCTTTCACAGCCTAATATAGATCAGATAATCTGGAGCTTTGGTGGTAACTGAACCACCATTTGGAGAGATGAGATACTAGAGTAAATGAAGGAGCTTGAGACAATCAAAGGCATCACTTTTACTGGTTGTTATTAACTTGCCTAGGCAACCTCAATAGCTTTTTAAGAGAGGATTAGGATATCTGATTATGTATTTCATGTGGCTTGTTATGTTCACATTCCTTTTATTGAGATGCTATGAAAAGGAGGGGCCTTTACTAGACCACTTGTAAAAGGACTGGAATAACCAATAGTATGGAACCGAGGAGATTAATCATGCTATTACTAAAAATGTATCTGAGTTACAAAGTTGGAATCTAGGACCAAATATTCCCAAAGTCCGGACGTTCACATCCAAGGGTTTGGTTTAGCCAAGCATGTAGACAGCTGCTGTTTAGAGGACACCTTAGTGCTTTAGTTTGGCTCAGGAGGACACTTTAGAAGCAAACCTACCAGTCATTCCTATTAACCATGCTTTGATTCACATGAAGGAGCAAGCTTAGAGAGCATGAAATGGATTCTTTTTATGTGAAACGTGAACTGGATCCAACATAGTAGTGGGCTTCCAGGCCATTTGACCAGACTAAATCTAGTCCAAAGGAACACCCTTTGGAACTCACGAAGTGTGGGCACAGAGTCCTAGGAACAGGTATTTCGCTGTGCAGATCGACTCTCCTGGGCTTTTCTACTTGCTAACACAGACATAGCCACAGAGTTGCTACCAGACTAGAATTCACTCACAGATGTACCCTTGCAGATTAGAGATGGAGTTTTCAGTTGGAACGCTTTAATTTTTACATAATGTGTAATAGAAAAAGGAATTGTTTTGCCACTTTTCGCTGTGTTTATGCTGATCCAGTCTATTTCTTGATCTTCTGTGTTCCACAATACTTTTTCACCTACTTTCCCCTCAGGCCTTGACTATACATTTCACCTCAGTCTGTCTCTCCTCTCTCCATGATTTTTTTTTTAAAGATCTGTGATGTCATTTCTAAATGGGAACAAGCCTTAAAAGAATTGCATCCCGGGAAATATGAAGGTGGCACAAGAATTGTGAAGTTGACCTATAAGAACAGGTACTGTGCTTCATTCCCTGGCCTCACTACTGCTGGTAATTAAACACTTCTAGACTGTGTATCTCTGTAGATGGCCAGTAATTTATGGTACTGTTAGTGCCAAAACTATTTTAGCTAAGATGTATTCAAATCCTACATGAGATGTGATGGCTTCTGTGTGTGGTACATGTGTAAAAGAGGGTATATGGCTTAGAGGTAAAACCAAAAACACTTTGCAATAGCAGAATAGACTTAAAATGGGTTAAGAACTCTCTGTAGTAGAGTAAGACGTACTTGGCACAATTTCATTTGCCTAGATCCTAGAACATAATTAAAGAGTGTGTGTTAGGTGAGAGGAAGAGTGACCTGGGGGAAAAATCACCAGTGAAAACGAATATGCTGAAACTTGCAATTAAGTGAAGAATCACAAAGATTAAAAAAATACAAGAACAATGTTCTAAGTGGCATGAGTTGTAGAGGAGACATGTAGTAGCAGTGCCCTGACTTTATAAAGAAAGAAATGTTAAGAGATAGATGATGAGAGATAGTAGAAAATGAAAGTATGAGACAAAGATCTAAATCAAAAAGTTCATCATTTATAATACAGACAGGAATTCTGAATTACGGTGAATGGAGAGCCATGTACAAGAACAAGGAATGGCTTTCTGCATGGGAGTTCTGTTTGCAGGTAAAATAAAGGCCACCCCAAAATCAAAAAGAGACAAAGTTGTGTATTGAATGTATGAAGATTTTGTTGACTGTAAAGGTGGAAACAAATTTCTGTGAACTTTGTTTGTTGTTATAAGAGATGTGGAAGTAGAAGTTATTGCTTTTGACCCAGAAGGCAGTATTTGTTTCACGAATGAAACTTTGCAGTATTATTTTGTTGGACTGGAATGTGCCTGGACTGGACAGCAAGGATGTTTTGATAAGGTCTCTCCAAGGTTGGGTTGTTCTAACGCTAAGGACTCTGATAAGACATGTGTAAGGTCACTATGGTCCTAATGGTGGTGTTAACCTTAAACTGACATAAAAATAAACAAACTGATCCTCTGGAATGAATATCTTGTGTGGTATTGTGGAATATACAGTCATAGATGCAGCTGTAAATTAATATTTGAATTAGATGGTGTGGACTGTAAATAGGTACGCATGACGAATGGTTCTGGGAAGCATTCCCCAAGCTGGTGTCTTCAGCCTTCATTAGTCATCTTGCTCTACCAGGTCAAAGAAATTGCAGGTGTGAAGGGAATAAAAAATAGTAGGAATCTGATTTACAAGAATGCGTCTTCAGTTTTTGAAGTAAAGCCTGCTAACTGGGTCTCATTTTCTGCTGAAGCAAACTGAAGACTTTTTTAAAAACAATATCAGTGTAAGTGGTCAAAAAAAGCTGGCAAAAATAACAAGTCTACAAGGCTGCCATGCAGAAGTTTATACAAGTAGAGCAAGAGGCAGTTCTGTATTCTGTGATAAGCAGAGCAGGCCATATCTCGAATGTTGCCTGTCTGTGCTTAATGGGGACAGATGGACACTGATTTATCTGTGTTTAATAAGGCTTCACTATCTTCAAGTGGTTGGTGCTCAGAATTCAAATGCCTTCCAAAGCTAGAAAGCATGTTTTGAGGCTCCTTGCCCAAATCTTGTTCATAAGGGAAGCACCTCAGCCTCCAATTCTCTGTCCAGTCACCCCTGCAATACACCAAGTTCACTTTGGAGAAGGAGGAGAAAAAACCCCCACTTTTGTTCTTACTCACTTTGATTGAAGTTCCCACCTCTACTCTTGGTTCACAATACCTTGTTACCTTCACAATCCTCTCTCTGCTTTTTAGGCTATATTTTCGGAGCCAGGCCAAAGGTGAGACAGACCGGGAGCGGTTGCTACTGGCCTTCCAAGTCAGCAATGAAATAGCCAATGGAAGGTTTCCTGTTAATAAGGAATTAGCTCTGGAAATGGTGGCTCTGATGGCTCAGGTGAGCACGGCTATGGGCAGAAATACTCCCTTTTGTCCTCCAGGGACTTCCCCTGTACACTGAATATCTTTAACTAACCAGCTATCTTTTACATCTAAAGTGATATTTCTTATCAGACATACAGTCTGAGATGTACCATGTGAAACACATTATACCGGCAAATCACTGAGGCTGGACTAGCCCCAGAACTGCTCCAAGTAGTGCCTTAGTAGAGATATGGAAATAGTACCGCTTCCTAGAATTCCACTGAATAGTCAAAACTTTCTTTGTTGCATTGCCAATAGCCTCTCACTCAGGAAGAGCATCTTGTAGGATCCTCCATTAGACCTCCAGGTATGCATTTAGCATTTTACCACAGAAAACACACAGTATGGGTTGTGGGCACGATAAGCAGGATAATAGTTTCTCACTGGGCTGAAACTGATTTTTGCATTTGTTAAAGCATTGTAAACTGAGATGAAGAATCCGGGAACATTGTCCAAACTATTTACAAACAGGCTGTTGTTTTAACTGGTCAACTGAAAATAAAGCTCAAAAGCTTGGTGGTTATACAGAAGTGTCTCCCTACAGCAAGTAGCTGTGATCTTGTTCCAATTTCTTAGACCAGTAAACAATTCCTTCAGCAGTCATGTGCTCAGTAGTTGCTCTGTTGTACACGTTTACTATGGTAAATGCTGTAGACAAAATTCCCCTGCCTATTGGTGTCTTTGCATGGCTAATAAACACAGTAATTATTGGTATGGGAATTCATAGAATGTTCTACTGCACTAAAAACCCCATAGTTCTGTTGCATTATAAACTATAACATTGTCTTAGGTGGAATATGGGGATTTGGATCGACCAGCATCTTCAAGTCCTGGGGGAACATCACAATCAAAAATGCAGCATCTTCTCCACCAGGTCCTAGATAAATTCTACCCCAAACGCTACAAGCAAAACATTACTCCTGAACAGCTCAGGTAAATTGTTGGCTTTTCTATATCTTTGCACTGAAAACAAATTTTACTTGCAAAATTCTGTATTTATAATTAAGAAGTTTCAAGGACCCCTGTCAAGATTATTTGATGTAGAAACTTAAACAAAATACAAGTGTTAGAAAAAGGTTCCTTTAAAAGATAATAGCAATTAAATAATATAAAAAGAGCCAAATCACCAACTAATTTTCCCCTGGACAGGAAGTTTAAGCCTTTCACTTCCAAATTAGGCATCTCAGTTTCAACAAACTCTAACCTAAGCCTAAAATGAATTCTGTTTCTGAATTTTTGTTTTACCCTTCCCCCAAATATCAGTTGAATCCAGATGCCTAACATTTGCAATGAGCCGTAAAGCCAGAACATATGGGCTGCTTCAGGCCATGCAGTAATTCTGGTAGGACATATTTTGGCAGGACTTTTTGATGTTCTGGCTTGGAAATTCTCACACACAATGCAGGGGTCTCTAGTACGGAGTTCCGATGCTGCCATGGATCTCGGCTCTGACTATTTTAAAGAGAGCAAATGCTCATCTTCCAGATCCAAAGCTACTTAGGGATGCAGCGGCAGAACTAACAGTTACCTCCTTTTGGAAGCAAATTTCGTCTGCATATAGCAAGATAGCTGCCAAACCATCCCTAGTGAGCCAAATCAAGAGTGAGTATATATATATTGCCACTCCATATAGAGCATACTACGGACAAGTTAAGATGAAGGTGAGAGTATAGGTGAATGTGAAGACAAGCTGGGCAGGATTTTACCGTAAAAGCTGCCTGAGTGTTTGTAGCTGTTTAATATATACACCAGTGAGCAACCCATATGTGACTGGGCGTCCTGGGCATTACAGTATAACTACTAGTAAAATAAATGTGGAAGCAGAGAAAGTGCTAAAATAAACTCTGGTTGTACAACCCTCATAACTGACAGTGCTAACAGCCCTGTCTGTAGTACTGTGTAGAACAGCCCGCTTGGAGTAAGAGGTACATTTGTTCACTGTTACAATTTTACTCACCTTTCCTCAGAAGACACTAGTAAATAATGCTGTCTTGTGCCTTGTATTCTGAAAGGCAACTGGCTGACAGGCTAGCGACGAAGTGGATAGTGCTGCAGGGATGCTCTCCGCCAGAATGCATTCGAATTTATTTGACGGTGGCCCGGAAATGGCCCCTCTTTGGAACCAAAATATTTGCTGCTAAGGTAACTAGAGCACACTTCTTTTCTGTTTGTGAGAGTGAACTATCTGAGCAGAAATATACCTGCGATCTCTGGTAACACGGGTTGAAAATGCTTCTACTTCAGGAAGGGAAAATACTGAACAATACTCTGTTCTAAACAAACAGCTCTGTTTGGTACCACATAGGTTTAGAAAGAAGGAAGAGAAATATGTTCTAAACACTAGGGGTTGCTAGTGTTCAGTAAATAAATACTGAAGGTTCCCTAGCTGCATCAGTAGATCGTGATACAGGGTACTACCTCTCCTTACAAACCTTGTCAAAGCTTTCTCAGGCAGGAATTTCCCTGGTCATCAAGGCTGCAATGATAATTTAAAAAATACTACTTACCTGCCACTGGGGGGGGTGGAAGGGAAGAGTCTCACACCTGGCAGCTGATGCTAGCTAAAAGAAGAATGGGTATTTCGGTCCTGTTCTCTGCTTAACACAGAGCTGGCTGCTTTCCTTGCCACGAGAGGCAAGCACTGCTAAGGTCCTGTTGCAGAAACAAAAACTAAAGCACATATCGGGTAAGCTGCCAGGCCACAGGCATCAGTGGGAGAGCAAAGAACAGCTGGAGGGAGTGCTTCTCCCCGTAACTTGTAGCATCCCTCAGCCCATCCCAGGCTAGAGCTCTGTACCTATTGCCCTTGCCTGAACTAATGTCTTAGCACATAGCAGCTGTCTGGGAAATCTTGCTTTGGCATTAACCATCTTCCCCCACCGAGCAGAAACCTCCTCTGTTGAAAGCTTGAGATAGGTCTTGTTCATGGTTACATGTCTCTTGCTTTGAAGTCAAAGCTGCTATAATTATGGAATAGAGTGTAAGGACGAAAGGGACCTCTTGAGTAAATATACAAGAAGTTTTCAAAAAGACAGTTATTTCCGTTGTCAGGAGTAAAAGCAGAAGAGGTTACTGGTATTTGAGGTTACTGACACTGAAGAAGCAGAATATAGAATATCTAGAACATCCAGAGTTTAAATAATGTTGATATTTCTGATGATTAACATATTTTCTAACTTTTCAATAGTTAAACAGCAAAGCCTATAGCATTAGCCATGTAATAGCAATTCCCAGGAAAGATTTGTGTCGTTGGCCATAACAACACATAACTCATCTTTAACAGAGAATTGATGCACATTTGTTAAAATCTGTAAGAAAGAAAACTGTATTGATGTGATGGTACTGGATGCACTGGTATTATAGCAACCAGCGGCTTCACTGCCTGCCTGACTGATGGGAGCAGTACAAGGACCAGAGCAGAGCAGAACTGCCATTTTGTTGCTCTGTCCTAGCATTAGCTTCAGTTTTAACTACACTGATGCAATTTAATTAATCTCAAAGCCTTTGTTATCATTGCATCTCTTGTGCTACTAGTCCCCAAATTCTATGTAAGTCTGAAAACATTACTCCAGATTTTGAAAAAAGTCCTCATAAAAATCAAACCAAGTCAGACGAGTAAGCCTGTAGGATTATCTCTCATCTTCACTTTATCCTTAAAATCCAAGATTGATGTCAGAAACATCTTTGTGTCATGGTCAAGAAATATCTAAATTAATAATAATTTGCTTTTTCTCTAGCCTATTTTGCCTTCCTCATCAGAGGACTGTCCAGTCTGGATAGCTGTGAACGAAGATGGTATCAGCATACTGGATTATAACACAATGGTATGGTGAGGAACACTGTTTAAGAAAAATAACTTACCTCCCACAGAAAGATATTCCCCTGAGTCCACTCAAAGTCACTAAAAGTTTGTCTTTAACTTCAAATGGATCCTGAAGTTAATTTGTAGAAGTCAGAGATGAGGGAAGTCAGTGCTATGTTTGAATAATGTTATATTGACATAAACAATGGAAAATTACAGCTACAGAGTAAGGTAGAGTTCCACGAAACAGCTAACTGCCTCTCTTATGGGCAGCAACCATGCTCATACATCTTGCAAAATCTCAGTGGTATGTGCTTTACTACCACCATCTGGGATATACCAAAGCTTGGACCATCGCTCTGAAGCAGTGAGGCATCAAGCAAGCTAGAAGAAAACTAGAAATGCAGTTCTCACTTGAGCTTTCTCTGCCAGCTGTTACCTATAGAGCCAATTACCTATACTGTCTATTACTGCTGGAGACCTGGTCTTCTTGCAATAAGTAGCAAATATATTAAGAGTGGCCAGTTTTTCTTTTACAGAACTATAACTCTTTCAAACTCTGTTGTCTGCAGCACTTGAAGGTCTCTTATTCTTACTCCTCTGTGCTGACCTTTGGAGGCTGTCGAGATGACTTCATGATTGTAGTCAGTCAAATGAAAGAAAGGAGTTCTGGAAAAAACAGCACTGAAAAACTCCTCTTCACAATGGCAATTCCAAAGGTAATTACAAAATGAACAGTGAGTTTCTTTCCAGCTGGCAGCATCACAGCTGGGCATTTTGTACAAGCCCTGAGGACTGGTACTTGTAGCTGCTGCACTAGCTATATACATTCAATAAACCCCTGATAAGCTGGAACCTTTAATCAAGAAACTTATTCTACCTAACTCTTAAAGACAGACCTTCATTTCAAAATCGAACAATTCCATGTGAGAAAGCCATTTTCAAAGGTTACGCAGTCAACAGGTTCTAAAAATCAAATGGCACTCTCACCTCTAATTGACTTACAGTTAATAATTTTCTTTTTTTCCCTAGATTGTTGAAGCAACACTTCTTATTGCCAGCTATATTAACTACCGTTCGACACCTTCACTCTTATCTTCTACACAGCCCTCTGGAAGCAAAACACCTGCTAACAAGCTCTGGGAGACTGAAAGTCGGAGCTTTTTCCCTTCCATGCCCAGAAGCACTAAGGGGCCCACCCTGCTCTGAGGGCTGATTCCAAATGACGCTGGGGTTTTTAGTTTTTTTTTGTTTGGGTTTTTTTTGTTTTTTCACTGCTCTGTACTGAAGTGCAGACTGCTATGACTTTGCTGGTTACACACCTTACTTTAATGCGGGCTCTGATTCTTTTCCATAATAACAGACAAAGTTCCTTAGTGTGGGCAGAGGCAGTTTCCTTTCTCTTAAAAAAAAAAAAAAAAAAAAAGAACCAAGCAGCTGTATAAATCCTGTTGGATCAGCATCTGTATTTTCCCACAAATTATAGTCAGCTGATTTCAAGCAAAAAAAAAAAAAAGCTGAGTTTGGGGACTGTGCAGGAGTTTCCTTTCCATGCCACACTCCATCCAAAATACCACGCTGCAGGTCATTTGCCTGCACAGTGCTCCAGTCACATTACATCTGCTCTCTTTCCTTGCACCCATTCTTCTTCAGTTTCCTGATCTTACTGCTTTGCTTACAAGCACATGCGTTTTCTTTGAACCCTCCCATTTTCAGCTTTGCACCTGCCTTTAGATCACTGCAGACCCTGTGCCTGGAATCTCAGCCCAGCTCTTAAACCTCCTAGTGACCTCTTTTCCTCATCATAGCCCCTTTCCATTATTATCATTATTTGCAATAATCTTCTGTTTGCATCAATCCCTAACTTGCTCACTTTTTACCTGAATTAGACTGCAACCTCTGCAAGGCAGATTTGAGTGGTGTATAGGCTTGACTCTGACTGCATGGGGCTGAGCACACAGTCCTATTAAAAGTAAAAACAGGTGGTAATGGATACTGTGGCATGTGGCATGAACCCTGTACAAGGATGCATCCTCTTGAATACTGCCTGTATCAGGAGCTGCACATCACTGCACCGTAAACTAGATATACACTGAAAAGGCTATTACCAGAGTGTAAAGATTAACATGACATAGCCTGATCAGGTAGTTTAGACATAACTTCAGCTCTATGCTCTGGTTGTGAATAGCCATCATATTAAAGTTTTTACCAGTGTTTAAATTCAATGTTGCCACTCCCAGAACAGAGACTATCTATTAAGATAGTCTTTTTGCAGAGACTATAATAGTTTTTATGCAACTGCTTGCACAACCGAGAGGACAATTTAATTTTCCCTAGAGCTGTAACGACTCCTCCCTGAAACTGATGCTAAAACTGAAAGACAGAAACTTTCCAAGTCCTCGCTCCAGGTGTGAAAGAAAGAAGACACTGTTGAGAAGGAAGAAGAACTAAACTGACAAGAATATTTCCAATGCAAGTCAGGGATAATTTCAGACCTGAAATAGGGAGTACAGAATAAGAGTTCAGTGGTACTCAAGAATATTTTCAACTTTAAATAAAGGTAGAAACCTCGTGTCTTTGCGTGTTGAGGACTCAGAACACCTGGGACTGGGAGAGTGACAAATGATGCCCTAGCTCCTACAGGACTGATGCCTTTCGGGAGTCGACGCTGTTCTACTCAATAGATGAACGTTAGATCTCTGCTGCAGGGCCAAATGGGTGACATGTTCCACCGTCAGACAGGCACTTTCAAAATCTTTTTCTGTTAATCCCCATTGTAGATGTTTTGGGATGTGTTTGAAACTGCACCTAATCTCAGACAAAGAAAGACAAGGCAAGCAAGTTTTGTACTTTTTCTGTCTTTCAGCAACTGGAACAGACCTTCCCCAACCAGCTCTGCCACTCTGACTTGACAGGAGCTGCTCCTTTCAAACTCCTGCTTCCTTCATGCTAGCATAGCAAGGAGCAGGTAGTCAGCAAATGTGTACTCGAGTATTGTTCTTCTGACTTTCTTAAAGAATGGGATTTTTTATTGATCTGTTTCAAAGGGCCTTCATTATGATTGAGAAGGTTAACGGATTTTAAACAAATAAAAGAAAAATAGGAATTCTTCTTGAAAAATCTAAACCTACCTGGCTTGAGTTCAGCTATTTCGATAAGCATTCTAAAACAGCTAAGGAAGAGTAACTGCATTTTCAAAAGTACCATGTGCAACTTCATAATAATTATGCATTCATGGGCAACTTTCCCAAATTAAACCAGTGTGAATCCAGCCATTAGAAAGAATTCAGCACTAGCAAACCAAAGCTCTTCACAAATGACCAAACCAACCATACCAGTGTTTTTACTCCTTAGTACCTGCCACCAACCTTGAAGCATCAAACTGATGCACACAGTGGAGCTGATGCTTCAAGAAGTTTTTGTTTCACGCTTATGGTGGCTGCAAAGCCACAAATTAAAAGAGTAGAGCATGAGACAGGCAAAAAATCCTTCTAAGCAATCCCTCATCATCATCTTTGTAACATAAAAAAACCCACAAACAAAAAAAACAAACCCAAACCACCCCATGGTGAATTGTGGAAACAATATGGCAGACGTAAGACAGGAGAAGACTGTATGAACAGAGACCTGATTTGCACATACTGTAATGTACCCACTTGTTATGAATTTAAGGACCACCCCTTGACATTACGGAAAAGGATAGAAGCTTTCTGAGCCAAAACCAATCTTGAGAAGGTATTTAGTCTTTTTTTTTTTCCTTGGATACTTTTAAGTGACTGTATATCCTGAGTGGTCAGTAGTATGTATTTCCTCTCTCACACACACAGAGCGATCTTCATATAGCTACATCAGTTTAAATACAGAGAACATTATTCCTCCTCGCTCAACCACCTGTGCCTAACAATTCCTCCTGTATCCGAAGGTCTGCTTGGCAGCCTGCTTCTTGTATCCCACCAGTAACAAAGCTTCTTCAGAATAAGCTGAGCCGTCGTCGGTGCTGGGGATGCTGAAGGTATAAAAGTCTCCAGTTCGCAGTTCAGAGGCTGTACTTACCTTTACAGTGCTAACACTCATGTCCTTAGAGACTTGTACCAGGGCAAACAGGACATTATTTTTTGGCATAACTGCACTTTAAATTGAGAAGCATGGCATATAGAACTCTTTTTTTCCTTCCTTATTTCTTAAAAATATTCACCAATACTTGAGTACTTCAGGGACCACCCCACTCTGATGAATGCAGACGAATACCTCCTATTTATAGCTTACCTGACTTCAGCCAACCAACCAACCCTGTGTAGATACCTATTTTGTGTGATTCTTTGGTAAACAATTTTTTGTTTTAATCAATGCTTTTGGCAATGACTATTGCTGCAGCATAGAATGAGATGACAAAAGCCTTTGTTTTCCTAACTGCTGTGTGTATGTAAAAGGCTGTCTGAGAGATACTGTGAGATTTCTGATTGTTCTTAATAAAATGCAGTTATCATGAATTAAACTGTATTATTCTCAGAATGAAAGTATTTTTAAAGCCACAATAGTCTCGATGTAAACAAAAATGGACAAAGATTGTGTTTGGTATTCAGGCACATACCTGGTGCAAACCCGTCCTAGTCTGATTCCTTGTCTCTCTCTGCTGATCTTCTCTCAGCTTTAGTGGATGACTGAAGTGCACTCCCATGGCACAGGATGTTCACGCCTTCAAAAGATGCCTAAACAATCCTCCAGACTTCCTCCTCTGACACAGCTACTTGGTCATTTCTGCAGTGCACATTCTCAGGACTTCCTGGGATTTTTACAGCATAGTCAATGTTCCCAGCACACTCTTAAGCCCAAGACTCTGTCTACTCTGCTGAGACATCATTTATTTTCTGACACATTCTCCCCAGGGCTCAGCAAAGCTTCCTGCTGCGATACTGCTCCTCAAGGGCCTTGACCATTTCTCCTCCCCATGAAGAAACACAACCTGGCCGAACCATGCCCCAAGCCATATGCAACTCAAGTATACCACGTGGTCGTCCGTCAGAGGACTCTGCCATGGTCATGACTGTGACAGTCACACAGTCATGCTCCCAGGGCCTGCCGCTGTTGGTAATAGCCAATTTCTGCCCCTGCCCCAACACCCGCCCTTCCCAGTTCTGCCTGGACTTGCAACCAAACACAGCTTGCATCAGGGTGCGGCTTCACTAACTTCAGAGAGACCTACCAACTTAGAGCAGCACTGGAATTAAAAATCTGGCCGACCCCAACATTTAAAGTATTTATGAGAAATAAAACCATAAAAAATGAAGTAACCTAGACAATGTTACCCAAAAACCAGTGACACATCCTCCAGCTGCTGCCTTTCACTTGGACAACGAGAATATTTCCTGTGACATGAGCTAACTTGTGTCTTTCAAACTTCACAGCACCGTGGAAAAAAAGAAATCCCCTTATCTCTACCATATTGCATGATGGTATGTTGCCACGTTTTCGTTACAGATTATATAGACAAGCATAGTACAGCATTGTATGCAAAAAATAAGCCTGGCCCCTAGGCTCCTGGCAACTTGTTCTTTGTTTTGACATTTCAGTTGTCTCAGTTGTTACACTACTAAGGAGTCATGGAAAAAAAGAGAGAAAAATATCAGTTGAAGGTTACAGTAACTTAGTTCATCAACAAAGAATTTCCCAACCTTACGTTACTCCCGAGAGCACAGATCAATAAAATTTTATTCACATAGTCATTACCATAATTTTCAACAATGCATTTTCCTCATATTCTCAGAGCAACTGATGTGCCCCTGTTAATGCCGCATCTTTTCCATATCCTGTGTCACCATGCCCCTGCCCCATTCAGCAATGGGCCCACATTTTCCCTGTCTTCCTTTTGCTACTTATGTACTTATAGAAGCCCTTCTTGTTACCTTTGACATCCCTCAACAGATTCAACTCCAGGTGGGGTTTGGCTTCCCTAACCACATCTCGGACAGCATTGCTGTATTCCCCCCAAGTTACCTGTCCCTGCTTCCACCTTTGACACACTTCCTTTTCGTGTTTGAGTTTTGCCAAGAGCAACCTGATCATCCATGCAGGCTTCCTGGCATTTTTTGCTTGACTTCATGCTCACTGGGATGGACTGTTCTTAGAGGAGGTGATCCTTGACCATCAATCAGCTCTTGGACCCCTCTTCCCTCTAGGGCCCCATCCCATGGGACTCTTTCAAGCAGATCCCTGAAGAGGTCAAAGTCTGCTCTCCTACGTTTATTTCATTAAACATAATTGAATGCAACAGTATCTTTCAATTTTCTGTTATTTTCTTTCTGAAATTCTCCTGTGGATCAGGAAGTTACCATCTCAGCCCACACACCAGCTTTGGTATTTAGAGTGATATATGCTTTTTTCAAACAAAGGGTTAAATAGAAACAAACAAAAAAAAAGTGTATTTTTGGCAGTTGGCCAAGGTTACATCATGAGGTTATCATAATTTTCAGATTCACAAAAGAGTAAATGTTTGATGCGTATTCTCGCCTCTCTTTGCCCTGTTTCCCCATAATCCTTTTCTGGAGAGGCAAGGAAAAACCTTTTCTGTCTGAGTCTAAACAGTTCTGCTCACCTGCATTCATAGCAGAGGATTTCAAGGTTCACTTCTGTGCTTAAGCTGACATTTTCTGTAACAACTCTGTGAGTCTGTGCGGGCCTTTAGCCCTAACATCACTGTACTGCTGCACCACTTTCTACTCCTCTGATTAAAAAAAGCCGTGGGGCAGTTTTGCTTGCTTTTCCATGTGTGTCTCTGAGTCCTGCTGCAAGTTTGCTGCCTTGATTTTTTTGTACTATTTCATTCCACTTCATTGTGGAACTGTCTTCCTCTGGTCCAGGATTTCTTGACAACTTCTGTACACTTCTATCAAGCAGTCCAGACGTGGCTTGGAACTCTAGAATTCAAGTCGAACAACAGAGAATCAGGCTCTGAACTGTCTGTAAAAGAGGTGGAAAGCTTTAACCTCCCACTAGTGTGATTTTCAGGCAAAGAAAGGAATGTGGAGACAGCTGACATAAATCAGAAGCACGCATGTATAAGGAATACAACAGCAAGATATCTGTAGTTCATTAGCTTTCTCACATTAAGTCAATGGAGAATAGAGTTCTCTTCTACATTTTCATTGAGAAATAATCCATCAAACTCCAGGAGGTGTTTTTTTTAAGCTGGTGCAAAAATGCCAGTCCCTAAAGCTGTCTGCACCATTCTGCAGTTAGCCTGAATCTCTCACCAGATCCGAAATCCTCCCCTTTCTTAGCTCACAGTTCGCAGTGACAGCATGAAAGAAGATCCACACCTCCCAACCCATTAACCTATCTATTAGGCCACACTCCCTCTGGAGACCTACCAAACAGCAGATTTCCATACCCTAATCCACCATCCTAGCAGACCTCCACCCTGACGAATCTACCTTCAGGAGAGGGAATTTAGACACCTGGCCCTTGGCCTCTGCTAGGACTGTCAACAAAAGGACAGTGGAAGGTTAACCGAAAACATCAATTCATTTCACACAAACAGTGAATGGTGGTCAAAGTATAATGATTTTCCATCACTTCTAACCTGGACCAGATTAAAACCAGCAAGGCGATGAAAGTTTCGCAGTCCCATAGTTCTATGGTCCCATGACTTTTGAGCTCCCAAACCAGCATTACTGTGTAAAGTCCATCAGACACCTCTCCTTGCAAGCGTTGCTTAAGAGAACAATAGGTCAATTCAGCACAGAAGTCCTTCTGGGCTCACTGACATGGTAAATTGTATTTTTGAAGGCTGACATAACTTAGAGGAACCCAACAAAGGAGATGCAATAAAGTTACAAATTACTGCTCCTTCAAAACTAAGTAACATGCTAACTTGTATGTTGAAATGAGAGTTATTGAGAGGTAATGACCTGCAAACCGACACAGCTCTTCCGGTACCTCTTTGCTGTTGGAGTCAACTCTACCAATACTAAGATGTTTCCATGAAAATAAACCTGTTCAGAGTTGAGCTCGGAAAAATAAAAGAGAAACTACACAAATGCCAGGCGCCCTCTTTGAAGGTGGAAAGGAGCACGTGTAACTAAAACCAGGTTCCTGACTGTAGCTCTCTGGAATTTATTAGTCGTTGATTTCCAGCAAATCCACTTCTTTCCCGTGACTGTGTGTGAAATACTTAATTTATGTTATTGTTAGTAAACATCTTTACAATTGTGAGACTAAGTTACCAGCAAGCATCAATGGAATAGTCTATACCCGTAAGCATTTAGCTGAAGACTAGCTGTATCCGGTCATAGATTGGATGTGGACTACAAAATGACAGCCAGCAGCAGCAGGTGAATTAAGAAGGACAGAGAGTGTAAGATGTGAGGTGCCTCTGTACTGCCTGGCAGCACTCCAGGATCAGGGCATTGTTGTGCTAGACATGTACACGCAGAAAGAAAATCCATCCCAAAAATGGGATTATGAACAGTCCAAACAAGTTAGCAAGAGAAGGGAAAGGGGAGACAGGGTAATGGTAAAGCAAACAAGTTATTATACGTTAAGCAAATTGCTCACAGCTTGTACTGTGATCTTTGTCAACGGGTGAGATGGGGGAAGCCATTCTAATGCCAAGGGGGGTTTTATGAGCACTTTTGGCACATTAAGCTGAGAGAAAGATCGACTGCACCACAGTGCCATAGCTGTGATGGTAACACGGAGCATAACACTACACAGAAAGCTGTATGAGCCCTTGGTGCCCTATGTGAGCCAAAGACTTGCAGTTCATGCAGACTCCTGGTTGGGTTCAGATTTACACAGCTCCCTGTTCTTTGAATGGAGGGCAAATGAAAAAAATATCCCCGGCACATAGTTCTACGAGACTTCTAATACCACCCATCCCACAATGCTGTAAGACCCACCCTGAAGGCCCCGTCAGGGAAAGACAACTGTAGTCTGCTACCTGTAGCGGAATAAAGCCTGTTAGCCTAGCCAGCCGGCGCACACACAGAGACCACAGGCCTAGATTTCTCCACCATTCAGTCAAACTCACCTGAAAAAGTGGCACAACCTCAGATATTCCCTGAGGATCTCGAGGGTCCTGGAGGAGGATGCACAGGTAGTAGATAACTTTTTGCTACAAGACAAACAGACAAATCGCCAGAGTTTGAAAATGCTATCAAAGTGCCTGGAGTTACCACAGAAAGAGAATCTGTTTCAACTCATTGGGCTGAAGGCAAATCACCCCAGGCCACAGTCAAGTCTACAAATTTATGTCTATAGCTTTCCTCTCTTCACACAATAAAAAAATAACTTTACCTGTGGTTTTTCGTATTAAATATTTAACCTGAAAAGAACACACATATGCTGGAAGGGTGAAGTCTGCTTTTCTACAGGAGCTTTGCAGAAAATCCCAACAACGGGAAAACTCATCTCTTGTGTTGTCTATCTTCTTATCTCCGTCTTGACTACTTACGGAGTTTGGCATCAGGATTTGCAAGAACAGTACAACACCAAGAATTAAAACCACCAGCTCAGTGTTGGTGGGATTATCTAAGGGATGGATTTGGCTTTTTGAAGTTATTTGGCTTGAGTTCTCCTTTAAAGGCAAGAGAATAGGTAAGAGGATAAAGAGAGAAATCTGAAACAAAGTTCCCAATGTCACTAAAGCTATGGATGGTGCTGTGTTTAATTGCTCTGGTAAATCACGCTCATGAAAATACACTGGATGTGAGTGTGCCGAGACACACAAGAAGAAAGACTGTGTATGATTACCATGTGGATGGCTTCATTGATAACCACATCCTTCACTTGACTCATCTCAATGAAGGTTGTG